TTTTATAATCCACCCACACATGATGCTCCAACTTGACAACTTCCCACAAACCACTGAACTGTTAACTGAGGTTTTATACACCATCAATCACACCCAGGCAAAAATAAATAAAGACAGACAAAGTAAGTGAGAGGCAGAATAACAGCTGGAAATTAAGTCATGATAGAAAGAAAAAGTTAGTACCTGAAGAAAAGAATCTTCCAGAAGGGGCAAATGAGTTAGGGACAATAAAATAAGATCAAGTAAAAAATAAAAGAAGAAATTTCAAACATGATAATGAAAAATGAATAAAAGAAACTGGATAAGTTAGGGAGAGGCCAAAGTTTCAAATGGGGAAAATACAACTTTATTTGTTAAAGAGTCTGGCTCCCAGGACAAAGGAGGAAAGATGTCATCACAGTGGTGCGTGCAAAAAGCATATTCTTGGAATAACAATATTTACCCTCTACACCTATGTGGCCAAGTGCAGCTAGATGAAGTCACTCAGAATACAAAGCTTTTCACATGATGGAAAACCATTTGCAATGTATTCTACATTTCAACATCCACTAGATAATATTGTACAAAAGACTAGGCAGAACATGGAACGTTTGCTATGATACACTGCAAAGCATTTGCAAAAATGGAATTGACTAAATAATGAATAAATAAATAAATGAATGACCAAATCTGGAAGAGGAGAGATCCCCCCAGACTGTTTCTGAGCCAGAGGACACTACAAGTCCAGAGGAGCTGTAAGCATGTCTTTCACCAGTGTCCTTAGCCAAAGTTCTTCAGCCTTATTCCCTTGCCCCTAGAGTTACCCAATTTTATTTTCTGCAATACTAAAATACCTGAATTATCAGTGGTTCCAATAATTTCTCCACTGTAAATGTCTGGATCTGCAGATCCTGAGGATTGATTTTCAGTTTAGAGCTTGCTGCTTTTGTTGACATTTCACCTAGTCATAAAACAAACAAAAAAATGCAATAAGCCATTATTAGCCACAATTGCAAGTCGTACTGCCCTCTGTCAGAGCCCAGAGACTGCCTACAGGAGTACAGACTTGGAGACATAACAGGCTTAGGATTTCAGGAGATAAAATTATTTTTTCCAATTCCTTGTTTCTAAATTGTTAAAAAAAAAAAAAGATACTTGCACATAGTGTAAAATAATAGCTTTAAAGTAGATGCAATTTCTTGTCTTCTTATTCAGATCTCTGAATTGACCATATATTAAAAAAGACACAACGATAACTACATTAGAATAGCTTTGAATATAAGTTCTCTATCAGACAATAAAAAGGAGCTTTAAAGCAAAAATAATATTACATTTTTGAATTTCTCACAAAACAAAAATGTTAAAGATATGTGCACAATACCTGTATCTTATTACATGTGCTAAATTACAGTGGTCATAACAAACACTTTAAGAACAAAAATATGTATGGCAAACCTTAAAAGTCACAGCAATTAATAGCAGGAGAAAGTGAAATGTAGTTATTTCACTCCCTGTAATAAAAAAAATATTTTCTAACTGTCAAGACAAATTAAGTCAAGAAAGCCTATTACTAAAGTCAATAAAGTAGAAGTAAAGCTAAGTAAGGTCTTTAAAGTGAATAAAACATTCATTAGGAGCTTGATCCAAAGTCTACCAGTGTTAATTTAGGGGTTTTCACTGACATCACCAGGCTGTGGTTCAGGCCTTTAGCTACACTGAAATGTGTGTGTGCCAACAAAGAATTATAACTGTGCTTTAGTAGGAATGCAACCGATTATTGTCTCAAAATAAAAGACATTTTAAATTTTCCAGTAACTTAACTTCCCATAAAACATAGCTCAGCAAAGCCTTTTCAGCCAATAAAGACTTCAAACACAAATAATGGATATCTGTCCTTTTTAAGCAGGACTTATTGCAGCCATTGCTGCTGTATAAAAAAGTAATAAGGTACTGCAATTTTGCAGGCTAAAAAGATATATTGTCACCTTTGGGTGAACTTAGCATTGATTTAACAGAACAGAGCAGGTTTAGGATTTCTACAGCAAGTTGTGCAGAAACGGATCCAAATTGTTTATAACTGAATGGTTACCCACAAGTCACTTGCAAGCCAAGATAATACAAATAACAATTAAAGAATTAAGGTTAAAGGTAATTTAGGATTTTGGCATTCTTATTAAAAGTGCCAAGAAGTGCCAAGTTTACTCTTTTACCACAAACTATTATCACAAACTATACTAGTCACAGCCCTAAGTTCCCACAGATTCGGTGACAGACAGTCAGGTGATAGCATATGTAAAGAACTGGCATTTCAGTTTTAATTTCAAATCAAAAGATAAAGAGAACAAAAATTTAGGATCAGACTGACCATAATTACACTTTTTTTTTTCCCCCACAGAAATTAATAATAGAAAGAGAACTCCAAAAATGTCAAAGCAAATTACTTAGCCTTATTTTACACATTACATTTTTAGATGCTTGTAACAAACACCAAGGCAATAAAATCTGTGACTCCCCAAATCACCAGTGTCAACTGTTCTCTCTCTGTCCAATGAATCAAGAGGTAGGATACTCCCACAGATTTTAAATACTCCAGTTTAACTTATCCCTTTTTGAAGGGAACTGAACCCCCCCATCATTCACTGCTTCAGAAACAAGTCAGGAAAAGGACTGCAGCTCTTCCACCAGCACAAATTGTTATGTACCCTCCCTCACCTGACGAAGTTGTAGCTCTGCAAGCATACAGATGACACCTGTCACTCACAAAGCCTCATCACAGCTGTTAGAGGTGCTTTGAGATGGATGACTTGGGATCTTCTGCTGGTTCTGTTCTACTCAATACTTGAACTCACAACACAGCAGGCTGAAAATACAGCATAGCTGCAGAGGCTGGTGGTTAGAACATGCTCCCAGAAGGCAAAATATTTTGTTTCCAAACTGTGATTAACTAATGTTTTCAAAATTTCAGACCAAGGAGAACCACAAGAGACAGAAGACATCAAAAGCCAACGAATCCGAACACCTACCAGCACATTCAACATAATAAATGCCTTACTGAATCAGATTTGCAGTCCATCTAGGGTGTGATACAACCACAACTTAGGTCATTGTGAAAGTCTAACATCTCCTGGTTCCTGTATATTGCACACAGAACATCCTTGGTGAGCTGAGCTCTGCAACAAGAGCTTATTCTTACGGCTCAGGCCAACGACGTGCCCACTGTACTCATACAAATAGGCTGGGGGTTTTTTACTTTTTATTTTATCTGGAGTGATTCTTACTGTTAATACCCACTGGTTCTTTATGTAAGGAAACTGAAAACAAATGTGAAACCAATTTCTCAACTCTATAATTCTCCGGAAATACACTAAATTCTAAAATTTGGCCAATAAAAATGTAGCTGTAATTATAGTCACTTTCTCTTACTTACTGAAGATCATTGTGCTTTAGAATCCTACCACTGAGCAGACTCAAATGGGAATTGATACAAACCCAATCCTATTTTTGCAGATCAGAAAAAATGTGACTCCATGTGCTGTAATTATATACCAGGCTTTCCTGGTAAATAACTATATTAGCTAATCAGTATTTAAATTTATTTTTTTTTTAATCAAGAGAAGGGTAATACTTGACAGAAAGAAAAATATGCAGCCAGTAAAGATCATTCTGGGGTTTTCTCTGATATTTCCACTTAAAAAGTGAATGTTTATCCTTCCAGATCATCTTCATTAAGATAATAAATTTTGGTGCTTCCCTCAGGAAAAAATTAGAGGCACAGTCCATCTCCTGTTATTTTAAAATCCTTACATCGACTCCAGTATAACATGCTCCTGATGATGGTAGGGATCTTGACTGCAAGGTATTTGGTAAAAGGCTGCTATAACCTCACACTCAGTTATATTAACCTTTACAGTAGGCAATTTCAGCACTGTAGACCAGCAGCTCTTACAGCACTCAGGATGTTAAGCATGTGTCACAAGATACAGTTGTGTCTCACAACAGCCAGAAAAGCAACCACCTGCACACTCCTACCAAGCACTACAAACCTGTAAGATAATAAGAACTTTGTCTTTTCAGCAGACATGTACACACTGAAACTGCTGTCTTTTGGTGTAAGAAAAAGACACCAGAAAAACAGTCCAAGTCAGTATCCATCTCCAATGCAACGTGAACATACTACCTGCAGCTTTTAAGCAATCTGTAAGTACGCTGCGTACATAAACTAATTAGTGTCAGTAATCAGAGCCAAAGATACTCTGCATAAATCAGAAAACATTACCTTTAGAACCCATTTCCTGCTAGACAATTAGAAAGCCAGTAGCACATCACTCACCTATCCTAGAATATATATGGTCCATATTCAGCACTAAATCAACTGCCTATGTAATTTCCTTGTGTTAGGAACTTCAGTGCAACTGCTATGGCTCACTATTTGGCTTCTGAGGCATCTGCAAGGGACTGCCTGACAAGCTCTCCAGTGTATTTCAGGGTGACTGACAGGACACAGTGGCTGCTGGAGGGGTGGCAGGGGGATGGGCATCCTTAAAGCTATATACTAGAGCACAAATACGTCCAAAAAAAACTCAAACCACCTTAAAAAGCTTTTAAACAATTAGATGACATGAAGTGTGTCATTACTGACACTTGTGGTGTTTATTCTTGTAATCTTCAGCACAGCTACTGTTTTCCATCCATTCTGATTGTATGCCAACTTCTGTCTCGAGGCAATGACTCAGTCTCAGATATTTGAGCTGGACAGCAAAGGGATTCATAAGGCTCTCACCCAGTAACTTGGCACCAAATTTGTTTTCTTTGTTTTTTTTTTTTTTTTCCTATTGTTATGTTACTCTACACTGACATACATTATCCTATCAATTTCAGAAAACACACAGGCCTATTGCCTTCTAAAAAACAGGGAAGGCAAGAAAAAATAAAGTAATGTGGATAATTATTTTTAAACAAGATAGACATGGACAGGACACCTGAGTACTTCTAAGATGTGAAACACTGCTGAGACTAGGTAATAGAATATATGTTATTATTTGTTCATAATTTCCATATTTATTATACAGCTTCATCAATCATTGCCAACACCACTTTTGGAATAAAATTTGTTAGTCATTTTCTACAGAGCTGGTCATTTGTCAGTCATTTGCTACAGCAAATGCAAATCAGTTTTTATAGAAGCCACAAAAACAGTCATTCATTCTTCTTTAATCCACTAGCTGATACACAAAATAAGATGTTCAGAATGCTGAAATATACTGGTTCTGTCTGCAACACAACAGCACATACAATTTTTTGCTTGAATACTTGTTGTACTCTGTGTGCCAGCCCATGCCCTGGAAAGGAGCAATACCTCTTACACCTGGGAAGGATGTGGCCCATTTAACACCAGAGAAAACATAAAATGCATCTGAAACATTATTTAAATTTCCATACAAAGCTGTCAGATTACACACTAACCACCTCAGATTTTAACACTTCTTATCACTAATAAAACATGGAAACATGTCTATTAAGGCAAAGGTACCAGAGAAGAAAGAAGGGCTGAAGAAGTGAAGAAGGTGGCAAGATTCTATGATTCAGGTCTGTTAACGAGGTCTATTAACCAAAGGCTGCTTTATTTAAACAGGCTTTGCATTTAGGTGTAAATCAGCAGTGAAGTAACTGGAAAGTAATTTTTAACACTCAGAGAAAAAAAAAAAATTAAAGCCACACTTTTTTTTACATTCCTTTTGGCTTCCCTCCCTAGAGAAATTTTTTAATCCATCAGCCAACCTCAATCACATCTGAAAAGCAACTGAAATTCCCAAGGACACAAGACTTGCACCAAGTTCAACAGAGTTCTCAGCATAAACAGTGTCATGTATCATCACTTATAATGAATCTGCTAAAGACAAGAATACTGTGCAAGCCTAGTTTTTACTGGATACTGGAGAATGCACATGGCAAGGAAGAGGTTATGAGTGACCTAACCCCATGAAAAGCTTTAATTAAGTTCTAGGGGAATTAAAAAAAAAAAACTTGCCTGGTGCAAATTTTGTGATGTCTACTGAGATAACAAATGAAGATTTTTCCCAGGGTTACAACATTAAGAACACTCTCTCTTTTCCTTGTTTAATAGTCATACTTACTTTTTCTACAGAACATTCTATCAAAGCACTTTTTCAAGCAGAGGTCATCTTCCAATAACACGAATAAATTCTTGCCCTATGATTCTATTTCCTTAAGACCACACAGAATGTCAGTGGCAGAATTCAGGATGGAGTGCTGGGATATAACCATCTAGTCTCTACAGCACCCTACTCACGCTGTCTTTAATTCAGGCCAACAGACAAACTAAGAAAGGCATTTCCAAATAGAATTTACGCTATCAATCTAAATAACATAATCTGATCTTACATACTCCTGTCAAAGTCACCCAGATACTAGTATTTCTTATTCTTAGTAAGGTCAAGCAACACATTTTTCTCCCTTAAACATACTGTCAGAATTACTGCCTTGGTTGAACGCACACACTTCCAGCCACTTGCAACACGCTGATGAATTCTAGGAGACGTTCCAGCAGAGGTGTGAATCCAACGGCCTGACCAGCTACAGGACTCTTGGCTTTGCACTAGCATGCCAGGCTGCTTTTCAGCCAACAGCTGTCCAAAAATGTGTGCTATGGTCCTGAGCCTACAGCCACAGCAAGGAAAATCTTCTGCACTGAAGTGTAACAACGGAAACTTGTGAACCTGGCAATGCTCTCACTATATTAACAGTAAACTAAATGATTCCACTGACATCAGTGAAGTCGTACTGGATATACACCATTGTGGGTGACAAAAGAATCAAAACAATCCTGCTTGGTTTAGGAATTATTTACCCATCTTATCTTCACAGTACTACTTCCATGTACATTTTTGCATGTGGTGGAGCTTTCGGTGTCAGAACTGCAGCTGTAGTATTTAAGATATTGAAAAAGCATTACTTAAAAAAAAAAAGGTGGTGTGACATCAGTGGCAGCATTTCATTCAAAGCCAAAAGGTTTTCATTAATACTCTTCAGACACATTTCAAATTCTTAAAGAAAAAAATAGATCCTTTCTGATGAATCTCTGTGCTATTTTAGCTGCATGCACTTTGAGGACAGAAGGATCCCTCTCTATTTAAGTGGCACAGAGTTCCTACATGGATGGCTGTCCTGTGCTAGTAATGATAGGTTAAGAAGGTCTGGCTCCAAGCCCTCACTTTTGTTATCACTTTTGAAGTGTTCCTATCTCTAATCAAAAACAGAGACTGTTTAAATAAAGTTCAAGTTGACCTTCCACTAAAAATAGGATATTGTTCAAGTCATTAAAAAAAAAATAGACAAAAAAATTCCATGACGTGCTACTTTTTTAATTTTTTTTTCATTAAATGCAATCTGCTCATATCCCACTTTCGTTATTTGCTCAGTTATCTATTGCAACTATACTATGTTGTTTTGCTTAACAGCTGTCTATCTCCTAATTGCAATGAGGCAAAAAAACCATGGTCTTCCCATCTCTTTGTAGAGCTGCTACTCTTGCCAACTGATTTTATTGTGTCATACCTACGCATTACTTCACCATCATGTACCATTTTATGTAACTATTTTCAAGCTGATATAAAGGTTTGCATTATTTGTTTTGTGCAGTGACCCAAACAGTGTAATTCTTCTTCCCCATTGTCTACAGACACACATTAACAACCTCAAAATTAAAGGCAGCATATGGCATATATAGCATAAGTATATATTAATTTGAGACATGCATGAAAATAAAAGAGAAATCATTCTCCAAAACTGCCTGATTTTGGATGCTGGCAAGCAGCTAGCTAGCTAGCACCTACAAAAGCATGATCTGAAAAGCAGGGGAAATAAAACCAGTATTTAAACAAACCCATACTCCCACCATACGATGTCTCTATATATGGACAGAACTCTGACATGCTGATTAATTCTTCCAATGGGGTCCCTGGTGCTGCACACCAGGAACTCTAGTTTCTCTATCAACTCAGACAACTAGTTTCAAATCAAAACATGGCTCGGAAGAAAAACCCTATTTAGTTGATACGTCATCTCAGTGAAAGAGCTTCAGAAATAAAGACTAAAAACATTCCTGCCCATTTTTATCCTCCACTCTCATTCCAACTCAAAAGGATTTGGCTAAAGAGCAGTAATTTTAAAAAACATCCAAACAAAACAAGACAACCAAACTTTGTTCCAAGGTGGGTTAGTTTCCTAACATCAACCAGCTGATAAGGAATAGGAGAGAAGAGCAACAATTCATTATGCATTTTTTCTAAAAGCCTGTCACCAGGTCTAATTCTTTGCTGTTAGATGAATTTTGGGCTTCAGTGGTTCTGAACATAGCTCTTGTCTTTAATAAGGGGAATCCAAATGGATTTTACATAAAGGAAAATTGTCTTACGGGTACATAAAGGGTTTGAAATATGCTGAGTGTTATACTGAACATAGCAGCCTCCCATTACCCCTCATTATTTATAATCTTTTCTCTTTCAAAATAAAAAACTGTATAAAAATGCCATCTACAATAAGCCAATATTTTCAACACTGAGGTGAGAAACATACATTCACATAAGCCCTCCTCACATTAGATGCAAAATCCATCAAAGTACCAGGAAGTCAGTTAAACTTTCTAAAATAACAGCATCCATGCAACATTTTATCCTTCCTTTTCCAAAATGATTTTCCCTATTTGGAAAATACACAAAGACATTGCACAATTTTGACTACTGGCTTCAAGTAGAAAGACCATGATGATATAAAACATTCAGAACATTGAAAAATCATGTTTAAAAGTTCTTTTTCTGAAAAGCTGGTTAAGAAAACCAGCTTTTTAACTCAAACTTTTGAGGAGATTATTTGATTAAGCAACTATAGTTACGCTCACAGCTTCAAGTAGTTTCATTAAATGAAAAATCCCCTTCTCTCCTCTTCAGTCTTACCTTTTGAATAAAGTATCTAACAAGAGGTCCTAGAAACAACTGTGTGAAGAACTCCTCTTGATGCAGCTTGACTCCAGAGGCACTGACAGCAAGACAGCAAATGGTTGCCTTTCATTCCTAGTCTATGAGAAGCAAAATAGGAGGGGAAGAGAGTCAAAATAGGGAGGGCAGTCCCCATTTGGGACCTCCTCCTGAACTGGTAGTTCCTGAATTCACTGACAACTTGCTACTGAAACTATCAGTTAAAGAAACCCCAGGCTCATTCCTAGCC